TTTAAATCTAATTTCAGCACTTTGTTGAAATGGAGTCCTACTTATATAAAATAATGGGCTCTAGGTGTTCAATATCTCTGAAAATTAGCACACCTGTTCAAGTATCATAAGTGTAGTTAATTATATCCACATTTAAGTACCCAAATTTTGGCCTTGATATTTTGAGATTTAAGCTCTTATGGGAGAATAGTCTCATGCCACACTATCCAGGCAAAAGTTGAAAAATAGCATTAAAAATGTAACTTTAAACCTTTTACCTGTTTCAACATCTGTTAAATTAAGCATAGAATCAAAGCCACCACTGAGAATTCTTCTTCCACACAAAGACCACTGAGCAGTTCGAACAGCACAACTGTGGCAGGAGTACGTTTTTAAACAACAGCCTGTATCTACAGCATTCCAGACCTTAAAAAGAAACAAGGACAGTTCTAAATATAAATTGAAAAACAGCAGTAATTAAGTTATTTGGCCTTCTGAAAAAAAAATTAGAACAAATCAATTAGCCCAGCTGAGAAAGCTTTGTATAGTTTAACAGATTTGATTTTGCTATGAAGACGGGATTAAAATAATACTGCACTCCCTTAAATTATGAAAATATTTTTACAGAATAGAAGAAATATACAGTAGGAAAAGACCTTGAAATTAACTAGTCCAGTCCTCTGCACTGAGGCAGGACCAAGTAAACTTAGACCATCCTTGACATGTGTATCCAAACTGTTTTTAAAAACATTAAATTATGGACTTTCCCCAACTCCCAAAGCCTACTGAAGAACTTAACAACTATTATAGTCAGGAAAAAATTGTAATATGCAATCTAAATTTCCCTTGCTACACATTAAGCCCATTACTACTTCTACTGAACATGGAGAACAATTGATGCCCGTCCTTTTTATAACAACCCTTAACAGATTTGAGGCAGGCAGGAGCCAGAGCACTCAGGGAGCCAGCTTTTAAGCCAGCTCTCTGCACACACTGGCTCCCGCAGAGCCGCCTGCCCCTCACATGCTGCTGCCTATATATCAGAGGCAGCAGTGTGGGTGAGGGACCAGGCAGGAGCCAGTGTAGCAACATGCATCAGAGGCAGCAGTGTGGGGAAGGGGTCAGGCGGAAGCCGGAGCAACAGCATGATACAGAGGCAGCAGTGTGGGGCTACAGGCAAGAGCCACCTGCCCTCACTCCACATGTAACCTTATAACATAATTACACAACTAAACACATTTTAGCATCTGTAGTGTGTACACAGACACTGAAGTAATTAACACAGCCACTGCATTAATTAATGCAATGACTGTAACTTGACCTATCATAACTTGACTTAAGATTGCATTGTAGACATAGCCTAAACCTTGCTGAATATTTCAAACAAAAATGGCCTGTGAACTCACCAAGTCGTTATTATTTCTACCCTAATTAACTACTCATTTTCTAAGCCTTGATCTGCATTATTATTTATAAAATGGTTAACATGTGCTAAGCAATTTACATAATATAGAAAAGACACAGTCCCTGCCTCAAAGAATTTAACATCTCAGAAACATGAAAGCCAAATTCTTTCCTCATTTACAGTCAAATAACTCCACTGTATTCAATTATTAATTAGTAAGATACAGTTAATTATATTTCTATATTTAAGACAATTAAATGCTCATTAAAAGCAAAATAAATGCGGCAAATGTCAACACCTGATTGGTTGTCTTTTTCTTTTTAATAGCATTAACTAGGAATGCTAAGCTGTAAGAAAAAATCAAATTCATAAATCTCTCTATATATTTTAGTGTGTCTGTATGTGTCTGTGAGCCTGTTTGTTGAAGAACTCCTCCTCAAGTGTAAGAGCTAGGGCCCCCAAATTTGGCATGCAGCTTCCTCTTATCCTAACTTAAAGCAAGGTCAGTGTTTGGTTGTGCTACGAAAATGGGAAGTCCTTGGAAAGGGACTGTTTTTCATAACATGGAAAGGCAGGGGGTAGAGGAGACAGACTCTCACAGTAGCCACAGGGAAAGAAAGAGGCAGAGAAAGAGAGGCTTACTTATAGGATATGATTCTGTTTTGTACAGAGTAATCAATTCTCACATGTAAGACTTGTAGGAGTGCGAGAGCAGGAGGTACAATGCCTATCCTAAAAGGTTGACGGCATGGTTATAAAATTCCTTTGCTAAGCCTGTGTTCCTTTCTTTCCTATCATGTTTGCTTCAAAGAGGCTTACTTAGAAGTCTGAAGTGCCCACAGCTTTTTTGTACTTGGCGGGGGAGGGTGTACTAAAGACTGTTAGGGCTCAGGAGATCACATACATTGATTTTGAGTTCTAGAATGGCAGTAACCCGCATCACAAGGAAGGGAGTCAAAGACAGGTCTGAGTCTTGGAGTCTCTCCTAGAGTTCTTGGCCACATCTCCACTTGCAGGAAGAGCCATGCTAAGGCAGTAGCTCTTCCAGAGTTTGAATTAGAGGGTCTAGTAAAGATCTGCTAAATCAAACACTGAAAATGCCCCCATTAGTGCCAGTACTCCTACTTGTGAGGAGTAAGGGATGTTAGTGAGAGCATTTCTCCCATCAACCTCCTGCTGTAAGAAAAGAACTGAAGCTCAGTTTAAGATACATCAGCTTGACTCCAGCTACATTTTCTACATAGCTGGAATTCCCTACCTTAAGCCAATCTTCCCCTATAGTGTGGACCTGATGCCAGAACTAGAAACAGTGACTACACTGTGCCTAGACTCAGTAGGTTTGGAAGCATGTGAGACTTAATTGGGTCTCCTGAGAAAAGAGCAATGACCAGGGCTCACCAAGCGGCAGTGAGCCCCACTCGCCAGCCACGCGGTTTTGTGCAGATCGCTCTGCGCCGGCTATTCCGCCATGGGCGAGTAGATTACATTATTTGTTGAGCCCTGGTGATGATCATATCAGGAGGTATGGGACGCAACACAAACGACTTCTTTTCAATGTCAGGAGAGAGAGAACATTCTTTCAAAACTGTGAAATGAATTCCCCAATAATGAAAAGCCATCCCAAACCACAGCACATACTGCCCCAGTGCACAGAGAATTTCACTAAAATAAATATACAATTTTTTTTAAAAACCTACCAAAACAAGATAGTTCACTGTAGAGAATCAACAAATATAGTGCTTTGGCCGCGTGACAGGGCATCCCAAGGACGAAACCAAGCAAGAGTCCTGAGCCAACGATCTTCAAGAATGCTGTGTTTGGGACTGTGAAGAAGCACAGTTTATGAAAAGCAGGATGTGGACTTTTGGGAAGTTTGAGAGGGTATAAAGATAGTTGTAATCTTGCAATAAAACGATTTCGTGCTTGCACCGGCCGGAGTCCGTGCCTTCATACACCACAAATGGCGCCTGATACAGGGCTTGAAGTGAACGAGTGATTCGAACTGGTGGTGTATCCGCAGCTGGACGGAGGATAAGTTGTTGAGACGAGCTCACGAAATTACTGACATCACCATTCGTAGGACGAACAGGTGAGCAGCCGCGGACAGAATAACAGTATGGGGCAGTCTGCCACGAAAGAGCAAAAACTGCAGCTTGAGATCTTCAGCGCATTGTGAAGGAACAGGGGTTTAAGGTTCCCCCTGTACAGCTGGTTCAGCTGTTGGTTTGGATACG